AACTCAAATCTTGAATTTTCTAGGGTTTGACAGAGAGGTAATCTCTTCTCTCCAAAATTATATATTATACTCCATGGGAGTATTAAAGTATGTTTATGAAGATAGATTTGTATTTAAACATCTATTCATGAAACTCTAGAAGAGTTGGTTGGTAAGGATGATGAATAGTGTTGGGTCTTGTTTGAACGATGTTATTTTGAGCTTCTAGTAGAACGACTAGATCCCATAATATCTTTAATGAAGGATTTGGAGTTAAAATTCAAGGATTTACCTTCAAATGATGAAATGTGGATTTTTGCTAAACTTATGAAATTGGACTTAAAGTGTTAGACACTTAGTTGGGTTAGTTGGTATTGTTGTGACGCGTTAATAAACTATGTGAGTTCGTATATGTAGATTGTGACTCGTCGGCATCATTGGATCATTTGGGGTAAGGTTGGAAGCAATTTGAGGTACGTTGAAACTTATTACCTTTGGAGCTTTTCTCCAAACTTATATCGAAACACGATTAAATTGAGTTTCTAAATGTAAGTCCTAGCTTGTGGGGACGAGCGAGTTGGGATTCTACCATTTCTTGCATCATAAAAGATTTGTGTATTATGAATATTATTTTCTTGAAATGTATTCAATTTTAAAATTAAATAGGTGAGGAATAGTACTTGTAGCTTTTTTTTAAACGGAAATACATGAGTTGTGATATATATCCTGGATTTAACTATTCTCAAATAGTTGATTTGGCTATGAATATCGTCATTGATAAATGTATAGGTTTTGGGAGTTACTTAAGTTCACCGAGATTGACCTTGGATACTTTCCTCATTAGGTCATGAAACTACACGTGCCGGTGTAGGCGTAGAACCCACCTTACGGTTGGGGAACTACGGAAGAGTACTTCCCATTGGGGTGTACTATTTTGCTACTTTATTAGCACGGCTGAGTCGATTCGTGCGGCACAACGATGAGACGACCTAAGCAAGTAGGGTATATGATAATTGCCGCTAGGTACATAACCTAGTTGACTTTTCTTCGTGTTGGTGATGGTATAGTGCTCCCGGTAAATAAAAAATCTAACATGATTTTGTAAAGATTAATGCTAAAGGAAGACATTGAAATATGTTTTATCTTATTATTTTATTTTATTTTCTAAATTGTTAATTGATATAAATACTTCTTTCTTATATCAATTATTATTGCATATCTAATATCTGCTTAAGGTTTGTCCTATATTTTTTGTTGGGGAACGGTTCATGATTCGTACTAGGCATGTGGAGCTTAGGGCTTTTGGCCATATTTTCACTTTTGTTTTCAGGGACTGGACCTGAGTAGCTTGGACCGCGTGGATAGGTCAACTCTACATTTTTTGTTGATACTTTTGGTGAGATTCCACCCTCGCACCGTGGAGGACTTTATTATATTATTATTCTTTTGAGCCATCGGGTTATGCCGTTGGCTATGTCATTCCGTATCATAGGGATTCCATAGACAATAGTAGTATTCATTTTTGGGTTGTAATCCTATGGTTACTCATATGGCATGCATGAATGAAATTTTCTTTTATCTTCATGGAGTTTTCTTTCGAAGTAAAATATTTGCTTAAAGATATTTTTTCATGTTTTGGTTTATATCTTAAAATGATTGTATTTGAAGAGGCTTTCACATTCCCCCATTAGGCATATAGATGAGTATTAATTTATGGGATAGTTCTCTCGCGTCGGGTAGAGTAGCAAGTTCCGGTCACATGGTTTTAGGGCGTGACAATAACATCAAGAAATTAATTCCCAACAAGATATTGCGGGTGGCAGCATATACATTTTATCAATATTCTTAAAAATTTCAACATAGATCGTAAAAATTCTTGCCTAACTTGTGGTTGGCATGGCACCCCCGCCTCTCAAGGTCGAACTGTCACCGTAGGTTTGGTCCTCTAGGATAAGATGATATCTTGGTCTTATCATGGTGGACACATGTCACGATGCGGAATTTTCACCGTCAGGATCGTGATGGCGCCTAACATTTCACTTGCTAGGCAAGCCAACGATAGAGATCATTAAGCCAAATTCTTAAGTTTTTCAGTGATAAACATCAAATAAGCGATAACAAGGTAAAAAGAAAAGCGCGAAAATCCATAACAACTTTAATACTTATACACAACTCCGCAGAATTTGGCGTCACAATCCATAAACTACTAAGATTTAGCTAAAAGTAAGGTGTCTAAAGGAAATACAACTGTTTTCAATACAAATGAAATAGTAAAGGAAATGCGTAGAAGGGGACGTCAGGGCCTGCGGACGCAACAGGACTACCTTGGGTCTCCAAACAGATCAAGCCAACAGCTAGACTCAGGGTCAACTCGGTCCGGTACCAAAATCTACACAGAAAGTGCAGAGTGCAGTATTAGTACAACCGACCCCATGTACTATTAAGTGTCGAGTCTAATCTCGGCGAAGTAGTGACGAGGCTAAGACAAGACACATTCTTAAAACTGTGCAGTTAAACAATATACGAGCACAATAACGACTAATAGAAGCTAAACAGATAATAACAGGAGGGGAAACATGCTGATGAGAGTACAAGATAAAGAAAACTATAACAGCAAAGAAACCACAACAGACAATATGCTTTGCACCACTGAAAGTATTAAACACAGTAAAGACAAGTGCATAGCATCACCCTTCGTGCTTTTACTCTCAAGATCACCATGATAATTAACAGAAGTGTCACGGCATCACCCTTCGTGCATTAACTCTTATCCGCACCATATAAACAAAAAAACGGCATGACATCACCCTTCGTGCATTAACACTCACATATCATGGTACAACATCACCCTTCGTGCATTAACTCTCACTCACAAAACATTGCACGACATCAACCTTCGGGCTTTAACACGCTCCCTCACCAAAACAATGAACAATAACAACAGAGAGATAGAAATATCAAGAACTGGTCTTACTTCAACATTTAGTTCCACAATACCAACCTCAACTTTGAGTCAATACTCAATCAATACCAAATTCTGTAAAACATGATAAGAGTTGCTATACATAACGAATAGCTAGTCTAAGCATGAACAATATGATTCAAGAATACAACAATTACAAAAATAAGAGTTACTCGCATGCGATGACTCGACAATAACGCATAGGTGCTCGTCACCTCACCTATACGTTGTACTCAATATCCAAACACGAGCAAATAGGCAAATAATACATAATCCCTCGAGCCAATGTTAACCACGACACTTACCTTGCTCCAACGGCCAAACTCAAAGCTCAATCACAGATTTTCCCTTCACACAAGCCTCCGGACTAATAGAATCTAGCAATTTACCAACCAGACGATTCAAATAAAGCCTTAGCATCTACCCACAATTGCAAAGAATTCAATGTAGGCCATTTTTGAAAAAATCAACAAAAGTCAACATCTGGGTCCACTTGGTCCAAACCCGAAATTCGGACCAAAACCCGATTACCCATTCACCCCCGAGCCCAAATATATAATTGGTTTTGGAATCCGACCTCAATTTGAGGTCTAAATCCCCAATTTTCGAAATTCCTAGTTTCTACCCTAAACCCCTAATTTCACCATGAAAACCTTAGATTTTTTGTTGAATCTTATGAAAAAGTAGTGAAAGACCGAAAGAAATTAGTTTAAGATCACTTACCAATGATTTGGGGAAGAAAAGTTCTTTGGAAAATCGCTTCTTGTGGTTTAGCTTTTGAAAATTATGGGAAATGAATCAAAAATGCTGTCTAAGTCATCTTTTGTTCAGCTGCAGGTATCGCATTTACGAACAAAACTTTGCATTTGCGAATGAACAGTGTTCTCGCAGTTGCCATAAATGGTTCACAATTGCGAATGAACAGTGTTTTCGAAATTGCCATAAAAGGTTCGCAATTGCGAATGAACAGTGTCGCACCAGAAACCAGCAAAACCCAAACTTCAACGAAATGATCCAAAACCACCTCGAAACTCACCCGGAACCTCCCGGACATAAACCATATATGAATTTCAATCATAAAACACGGTACGGACCTGCTCGCGCAGTCAAAACACTGTAGGTCGTCTTAACCCGATATTGACAGTGGTCAAACTCCCAAATTTCTTAACTTTACTAGTCTCTCAACCAAAGATCCAAAAATACACCCAAGACCCTCGGGACTCCAAACCAAAAGTGTACAGCAGTCTAAAAACATCATATGAACTTGCTCACGAGATCAAATCGCCAAAATAACACCTAGAACTACGAATTGAACACCAAATCAAATGAAATTTTCAAGAAAGCTTTGAAATTCCTATTTTTATCACCGGACGTCCGAATCACGTCAAACCGACTCCGTTTCCCACCAAATTTCACAGATAAGTCAAAAATATTATATTGGACCTGTACCAGACTCCGGAACCAAAATAAGGACCCGGTATCAACAAGTCCAAACATCAACCAATTCTTAAAACCCATTAAATTTTCTGACTTTTAATTTTCAACAAAAATTCATAACTCGGGCTAGGGACCTCGGATTTCGATTCCGGGCATACTGCTAGGTCCCGTATTTCGATACTAACCCATCGGGATCGTCAAAATATGGATCCGGATCCGTTTACCAAAAATATTGACCGAAGTCTACTCAAATGAAGTTTTTAGACAAAATTTCTTATTTTTATCAGATTTTAACATATAAACCTTCCGGGCCAATACCCCGACTATGCATGCAAATCGAGAAAGGATAAAATGAGGTGTAAAGGTTTCGAAATATGGAATTTGATTCTAAAACATAAGATTACCTATTGGGTCATCACAACTCATTATTTGTAGTATGATTAAAAGGGCTAGCTTAATGCATTTGCACCTTTTTATTAAATTCATATCTATTGGAGTTAAATAATTAACCCTGCGATATTACTAGGACTAATTTATCCTGAGATTAATATAATCTAACTTTTTTTTTTGAATTTAAATCCAATAAAATTTTAATGCCTACCAATATTACATCCTTGTTTTCTACCTAACATAATAATTTGCCCATGGCCCTTTCGTGCTTGTTTTCTGTTGTAAAAAATAAATTGAAGTCTAAATAAAAGCAATAAATGTTTGATAAGGTAACACACTCAAAAAGCATATAGGACATAGCAATTTGAGAAACATTCCGATCTTCTTCTCCAACTACTCAAGAAGATGCTTTCAACTGCCATGGATCACCTCAAATCTCAACCTTTCTTAGTTCTTCTTCTCTCCTTTATTGGATTCATCTCCTTCTTCAAAAACTCCTTTATTTTTCTCAAATGGATCTTCATCACATTTTTCAGAAATTCAAAGAATCTTAAATCTTATGGCTCATGGGCACTCATCACTGGCTCAACTGATGGAATTGGAAAAGCTTTTGCTTTTCAACTGGCCCAAAAAGACAATCTTAACCTAATATTAGTAGCTAGAAATTTAAGCAAACTACAACAAGTCTCTGCTGAAATCAAAGCTCAAAATCCAAATACCCAAATCAAGATTGTTGTTCTAGACTTCTCTGGTGATCTTTCTACAGGAATTCAAAAAATGAAAAAGGCCGTTGAACGGTTAGATATTGGTGTTTTAATTAACAACGTTGGTGTTACATATCCAGGAGCCATGTTTTTTCATGAGGTGGATGAGAACATATGGAAAAATATAGTGAAAGTGAACTTGGAAGGTATCGTTGAATTGTATTTTATTTAAAAGCTTAAATTGTACGTGTCTTCAACACGTTTCTCCTTTGCAAGTTTAATTATTTTTTATTAACCTAACACGTGTAATTTTTTTTTTATTAATGGTTGGCGCTAGGCAGTGTCTCTTGCTTTTATATTGAAATTTTATTTAAAAAATTTTGTTAGAAAAATATATTTTTTAAATTAATTAATTATATCTTCAACATGTCATTCATGTACGACTTGATTCTTTTTCATGAGCCTAGTATGCATAAATTATTTTTGATAATGGGTGGAAGGCTAGTGGTGCCTACTTTGATAATATACAATATTAAATTGTGCGATCATTTTATTTAAAACTATACTTTAAATTAAATATATTTTTTATTTACTTAATTATATTTTCGACAGGTGCTACTCTGGTGACAATGGCAGTGTTACCAGGAATGATACGTAGAAGAAAGGGTGCTATCGTGAATATGGGTTCTGGTGCTTCAATAGTTGTACCTTCTCACCCTCTTTTTGCTATCTATGCTGCAACTAAAGCGTGAGTCTTTCTTCTTCTAGCCATTTATTTTCTTTTCATTATTTTATGTGAACTAAAGTTTTCTTGGTTCCTGTTAGTTTTCATGTGAAAATTGAAACAGGAATGTAACTCATTAAATTGTTTAGTCCTAAAATATAATAGACTAACACCCATAATTAAAATTCTGAATACGTCTTTGGTTGAAGTCCTTTAGTTCTATGTGGTGTATGTATCAACATATATAGTAGTTCTTACCTTCTATCAATGGCGGAGTCACATTCAACCAACTAACACTCCTTCGTCGGAAAATTATACTGCATTATTAGATAAACTTTTTTATTTTATGTATATTTACTATACATTAACTTCCCTTGATTTTACGATATATTTAAATTCTTATATTTTGATACCCCTTAGTGAAAATTCTATTCCGTCACTATCTTTTAAGTACGGAGTAGTTTTGTTCCGTTTTAAATTTTACAAATTTTTATTAAAAAGAACATGCAATTATTTAGTGAGCGGTCTTATACTACTGTTTAGTGGGGTCTACTTTTTGGCTCATAATGAATGCCTCTGCTTGGTGTTTTATGGATAAAAATTGTGATATTTAGCAAAATACAGTTAAAACTTAAAACTTGATGAAGTATTAGTACTCCTCTTCTTCTATTTTCTTTCTGTGCCAGTCTTCGAGGACCACAACTCAAATTTCAAAGTAGTGGTCTGGAGCCACTCTGTCACATTTAAACCAGAAAACAATAGTCTTGTATACTTGTGTCTTTGATTTCATATTGAAGAGTCCGGAATTAAAATGTTGTTTTTTTGGACTCAATGGAAAGAAATAGGTGAAAAAAATTCTGGAATATAATTCTATGTATAACACATGCTTTAAATATGTTATACCTTAACGATCAGTTACCCGTTAAAGTATAACGCATGTAATGTGATTTCAAATTGAACCAGCTTCTAATGACTGTGAATAAAGTGTAACCTCCCCTCACCCCCCCCCCCCCCCCAACAAAAATAAAAGGAATGGCAAGGTTTTTGATTAGTGTTACCATACTAACACTAAACTACCGATACATGGATGAAAAGGAGAATCGTTTGACTACCTACTAATTTTCTAATCTCTATCTCAATCCAAAAAAAAAGAAAAAAAGAAAAGGAGTCTAATTGTATCAAAAATGAAGATGGGAAACGGTCCAAGGGTTGGGGAACAGGGAGGGAAAGGCCTGGGTTTGGTGAAAGTCTAATGGCTTATTTTTCCTTCCTTTTTTACTTAATTACTGTATTTTTATACTTTTAAGACTTTTAGTTACACTTAATCACACATGTGATTCAATAATTGGATCACTTGAGTAAGTATATTTCATGCATTTGGTCTTATGAACACGAGTATTCGTAAGACACATTTCTGTCAAATTGAAGGGTCTAACTTGTCACTAGGTAAGTTAGAATGTCTAACTTACAAAATAGGCCAAGTTTAAAGGGCTATCTAGAATTTAATCAAAATAACTCTTGATTAGTAGTACTATATTAAATGCTAGTACACTTAAGAGAGGTGGGAGGGGTGGTCGTGGCCAAAAAAGGACCAACTAAAAGCTATGGCATTTGTTGCAGCTGCATTCTTTTCCATCGCTGTCGTCCTGCTAGACATGACTTTATGAGCTTAATTCTAGCTTTACGAGTATTTGATAGTTGTATGAGACCTCTTTTTTATCTCATAATTTTATAGAATTCAGAATTTTGTGGATCCAAAAATGTATGATACGGGTCCACAAATTTGTGAGATAAAATATCTCGTCCTTTACTTTATTGCATGCATGGGAGGGTCGTGGTTAGACTTCAAGTATTCCGTTTGGTACTTCTGCAAACCATTTACTTACTGTACCTTTTTCTTGATCAGTCATTCTTCTGGTGTCAGTAATTCTTAAAATCTTTCCAACATACAGCAATTGGAGGTCCGCTGCACTTTTGCATTTAGTCACTAGGAATTAGTATGAAGGCGAGCTATTAACATTAAACTGTGGGAAACTAATTCCCTAGCAAAAGAACAAACAAAAATAAAAGAAAGAAACGAAAAAAATAAAAGATGATTGGCTAAACTTACGACTTGGGTTGTGGACAAGTTGCAAAACAAATTTGCAAGATTGCGAAACGGCAAATTGGGAGTCAGAAACAACTTTGAATGGTTATGGTGAGCAACCATTCATCTATAAATAGAGACGTTACTTTCCTTATTTTAAGTACACCAAATCAAGAGAAGCAACTGAGAGTTAGAGAGAGTAATCCGTAGATTGTAGTCTATAAGATAAATAGTGAGTGAGAGTAATATCATAGTGAGGTATTTAAAATAAAGAGTGTTATTTCTTTCGATGTTGTAGTAGTCTCTTGATACTACCAAGTTGTAATATTATAATGGTATAATATTGCTCCACTTGGGTATCGTATTTTACCCCGTTAAAAATGTAATATCGTTGTTACTCTCTTGTATTATTGTTATTTACTGTAGATATTATTTCTGGCGGAATATTATTTTTCCCAACAACGTGGTATCAGAGCCATGGCGAATAATGGTCGTTGTCTTTTCAGTATCCGTGACTCACAAAAGATAATTATGAGAAATGATATCTATGCATAAAAGTCATTCATGGCTCCCAGGATGTGTGGGAAATCGTAGACAGAGGGTATGCAAAACTCGGTAATAAGGAAGCTCTGCCTCAAATTGAAAATGATGTCTTAACAAAGACAAGGAAGAAGGATCAATAAATCCTCACGCCCATCCACCAATGTTTGGATGATGCCATGTTTGAGAAGGTGACAAATGCTACCACCTCAAAGGAAGCTTGGGAGATTTTACAAAATTCTCTCCAAGGAGTTGACAAGACGAGGAAGGTAAAACTTCAAACTCTAAGGGCTGATTTTAAAGTTTAAAAAAAGAAGGAATCCGAATGTATTTTGGATTATTGTTCAAAAGTGAAGGCCGTTGTGAATCAATTAAGAAGATACAGGGATGACATAGAAGATGTCTATGTTATAGAAAAGGTCCTTCGCACATTAACAACTAAATTTGATTTTGCGGTGTGTGCTGTGAGAAAGCACAGGAAAAAAATATTATTGATTATTATTCTATGTTACTACAAGCCATATTTATATGTATACATAACACATAACCTACTCTTATTACATAAGAGACTAATACTAATTACATATATTCACATAACTATTCTAACATTCCCCCTCAAGGTGGTACATATAAATCATATGTACCGAACTTGTTATATATATAGCTGATACGAGGACCCGCGAGGGACTTGGTGACAATATCTACAAGTTGATCATTCGACTTTACAAACTTTGTAGCAATATCTTTCGAGAGTATCTTTTCACTGACAAAGTGACAGCCAATCTCAACGTGTTTAGTTCTCTCATGGAACACTGGATTTGATGCAATATGAAGAGCAGCTTGATTATCACACACAAGTCTCATCTAGTTGATATCACCAAAATTTCAACTCCTTGAGCAACTGTTTGATCCAAATTAGCTCACATGTCCCCATAGCCATTGCTCGATATTCTGCTTCTGCACAAGACCGAGCAACCACATTTTATTTCTTGCTCTTCCAAGACACCAAATTACCTCCTACTAAGATACAATATTCAGATGTAGAACGTCTAACAGAAGGAGATCCTGGCCAATCATCATTTTTGTATCCAACGATCTGCTCATGGCCTCGGTTCTCAATCAATAAACCTTTGCCTGGAGCTGATTTTATAACCGAAGAATGCTGACAACTGCATCCCACTGACTATCATAGGGAGAATCCATAAACTGACTCACAACACTCAGAGAAAAGAAAATTCCAGGTCTAGTCATTGTGAGGTAATTTAATTTACCAACCAACCGCCTATATCTTGTAGGATCGTTAAGTGGCTCTCCCTGTCTTGGCAGAAGTTTAGAATTCAGATCTATCGGAGTGTCAACAGGTTTACAGCCTGTCATTCCTATCTCCTCAAGAATGTCTAAGGCATACTTCCGTTGTGAGATCACAATACCTGAGCTAGATTGCGTGACCTTAATACCAAGAAAATACTTTATTCTGCCCATATCCGTGGTCTGAAAGTGCTCAAAGAGATATTGCTTCAACTTAGTAATACCATCCCGATCATTATTGGTAATAACAATATTGTCAACATAAACGACCAGATAAATACACAGATTTAAAGCAGAATGCCGATAAAACACATAGTGATCAGCTTCGTTACGAGTCATGCCAAACTCCTGGATAACTGTGCTGACTTACCAAATCATGCTCGAGGAGACTGCTTTAGACCATAGAGGGACTGGAGCAACCGACATACAAGGCCACTAGACTCTCCCTGATCAACAAAATCAGGTGGTTGCTCTATATAAACCTCATCCTCAAGGTCAATGTGAAGAAAACCATTCTTAATGTCCAACTGATATAGAGGCCAATGGCGAACATTAGCCATAGATAGACAAAGGCGGACTAATGTTATTTTATCCACGGGAGAAAAAGTATCACTATAATCGAGCCTAAATATCTGAGTATACCCTTTGGCAACAAGACGGGACTTAAGGTGATCATCCTGGCCATCTGAACCAACTTTGACTGCATATACCCAACAACAACCAACAATCCATTTACTAGAGAGAAAAGGAACAAGCTCCCAAGTACCACTCATATGTAATGCAGACATCTCGTCAATCATAGCTTGTCGCCATCCTAGATAAGACAACGCTTCACCTGTAAACTTAGGGATGGAAACAAAGTACAAAGATGATACAAATGCACAATGGGGTGATGACAGATGATGGTAACTTAAACCGATATAATGGGATTAGGATTAAGTGTGGATTGTATACCTTTCTGTAGTGCAATCAGTTGACTAAGAAGAGACAAGTACAAAGTATAAGCAGGGTCGATCGGGTGCAGGAAGTGAATCAGGTGGGCCTGATGCTGGCGCGGACGACGATAATAAATCGGGAGTGGTAGAGCTGC